GTCCCCAGTTCTGAGTAGTGAACGAAATGGGATGTGCATGAGGTTTTATTAGGTACTTGATAAGACATGCTATCTTAAAAAATTGTATTATGTTTTCCAAATCGAATGAAGCATATGTGCAGTAATTCTGGTAAATTTAGGATCAGTTCCTGTTAAGTCACCTGTGGACAGTTGTGCGTTTCACGTGTACACTGGCGATCTTTTCTGCAGGAGCCCACGAGGCCGACATTCTGATTTTCTTAGGAAGCCAAATGCGAAGGCACTTGTTTGAGGCTTGCAAAGAAGCCACTGTGAAAACTGGAAACGTAAGGTGATCTTTAAAGCCACCTCCAACCAGTAAATGACTCTTAAAAACCCCAAGAGGTTTAGAAACACGGTGTTTCTATTTTGAGAAATGAAAATTTGCAAAAACCAGCAGAAAAAACATTTAAAGTCCCAGAAACGGTGAGAATATCAACTTCAGAGGAAGCCAGGGGGAAGTTTGCTCAAACTAATCTGCTCTGTGCCTGATGGGCCCTCGAGATTACAGCAGCCATCTGTGTGCCCAGCCTGGGGCAAAGGAGTGTCCGAGCTTCACTTTGTTCGTGGAGCATTCATTGTGGGCCCCCCATGTTCCAGGCACTGGCCTCGTGCTGGGAACATAAGTCAGATCAGGCATGATGTTGGTCCACACAGGGCTCCTGAAATCTAGTTTGTGGGCTTTCTTACACTGTGTTCCCAATGTCCTGTCCCTCCTTTCCTCCGCCATCCAAGGGGACAGCTTCCCTTCATTTTCAGGTGCCCAGTCAGTGTTCATTCTTTTACCAGTGATTTCAGATGTTCATTCAGGGAGCAATGACTGCATGCTCCAACTTCTGTGCCGTGAGCATGCTGGCAGGTGCATAGTCTCAGCACTGCCCATAGGAATTCTTCCCATTCCAGGACCAGCGCCAATGCCACCTCCTCCATGCAGCCTTCCCTTACCACCCAAGTTAGAAATGACTTGTCCTTCCTTTCTGATCCAATAGTTCTCTGCACCTCATTTTAGCACTTACCATACACCTGCCTTTTGTTACAGCTGTTGGGGTCAATGAGTATCTTCCCTGATAGACTGAGGTGAGAGTGTGAGGTGGGGTGGCATTCTTTGAGCCCAGGGTTCATGTCCAGTTCCTCTCTACCCCTGCAGCCTTACACTGCTGCATACCACACACACACACACACACACACACACGTTAGCTGGACTGGCTCTTTCCCCACTTAATTTTAGCTGCCCAGAATTAGCTTGATCAAACTCCTCTGTTGATGGCACTGCCATCATGAGTGTGCACGGCTTTTATATTCTATTTATTTACTATTTTTTGGCCTCCTTTACTCTCCATGCCCATCCCCTGCCACCCAACCATCCCTCTTCTGCCATAGACACCCACCCTTGTTTTATTGAAGTACAGCCTCCTAATCTATCTAAATGACTGTAAGGCTATTTACACATTTGTGTGAGCTCCAACTAGATGGCATTGTTTGGATTTGCCTCTGACTGAGGATGAATCACTCCATTGGATTTCAGGCACCAGCAGCCAGTGGGGAAGTGTCTTGGGTACAGCAGGTGACCCCTGGAATCACCTGGGAGGCAGTCAGCAGCTTGGTCCAGCACGAGGCTTCGCCTCCCTTCCAGGCTCCCTGGCCCCCAGAGCCTTGCCCCCGCCTCACCTGAGCTGTGTCCCTCTGGCAGAGCTGAGGGACACAGGAGGCCCTGGGAGGCCCCAGGAGGCCCCGTTGCTAACCAGGAGGCCCTGGGAAGCTCTCTCTTCTCTCTGCCCTCCTTGCGCCTATTGCTGTGTGAGAGCACCCATTTCTGCTTCTCCCACGTCTTTTGGTTGCAGCCCTGGGTGGACCACCCCCTGGTGAAATGCTCCTCTCCTGCCCTCTGATAAAGAAACACCCTGAGTCCTTAGCCCAGCGCTTCTCAAGCTTCTGGTCTCAGGGCCCCTTTATACCCCTCAAAATTATTAAGGACCTCAAGGAGCTATTATTTATGTGGGCTATATTTATCTATATATACCATATTAGAAACTAAAACTAAAAACATTCATAAATATTTAATTAATTAATTTTTAAATATTAAAAAACATTTATAAGTATTTAATTAACTTAAAAATAGTACTAAAGCCATTACATATTAGCATAACACATTTTTATGAAAAATAAACATTTTTGAAAGCATAAAAGATATAGCAAGGAGGGAGGCATTATTTACATTTTTGGCTAATCTCATTAATATTAGCATCTGGCTTGATAAATGAGAGCGGATGCCGCATTCTGCCTGTTGCCATAGCACATGTCAGAAAATTCCACTGTACACTTGAGAAATACTGAGAGTGAGACAGGCAACTGGCACCTCAGTACTATGACAATCGTTTTGACCCCATCTACCCTCTGAAAGGATCTCTGGAGTCCCCAGGGGATCCCCGACGACACTTCCCAATCTTAGATCATCGGTTTCCTGATGGCAAGGCCATTCCCAGTTCATCCTTACGGTCGGGGTTTGAAGCAGGCTGTGGTTGGGACTCAGTAAGTCTCGTTTGAAATACTTGAAAATATTCGTGTTTTTGAGGGTTACCCCGCCCTCGCTGCCATCCAGGAATCAGTCCATTCGTTCTCGAGCTGCTGCTGCTGGCGGCCTGTGGGTGCTGACGGAGGACGGCCTGGGGGCACCTGTGGGTGCTGGTGGAGGACGGCCTGGGGGCACCTGTGGGTGCTGACGGAGGACGGCCTGGGGGCACCTGTGGGTGCTGACGGAGGACGGCCTGGGGGGCACCGGCAGCTCTGCTGAGAACCTCAGTGCTCTCGGAGCTTTGACCTTTGAGGAATATTTTAATTTTTGGAAACAGCCAAAGGCCATTTAGAGTGATAGCTGGGTAGCCCTGGCTGGTGAGGCTCAGCGATTAGCCTGTGCACCCGAAGGGTCTCGGGTTCGATTCCCAGTCAAGGCACATACTTGGGTTGCAGGTTCAATCCCCAGCCCCAATAGGGGCTTGTGCGGGAGGCAATCAATCGATGCTTCTCTGTCTCCCCCTCTGTCTCTCCCTCCCCCTCCACCCTCTCTAAAAATCAATGGAAAAAATATCCTCGGGTGAGAATGAACGACAGCAATAACAAAAAATAGTGAGAGCTGGTTAATAATATGGGTAGTCAACTGGCTAGCGCTACATTTTGAATTTTTAAAATGTAATACTGGCTTCTTAAAATATAAATTGCAAAACTACTTTAATAACTATTCCCCTAATTCTACAAGTATATTCACATACATACAAAATGATGTTTGTACACATTTAATAACTGCACCATCATTTGAAGAGCAAAAATTAGAAACAATCTAAATGTCAGCTACCAGGAGACCAGTGAAATAAACTGTGGGCATCTATAGTGTAGAACAGTCAGCAGTTGCAAAAGATGAGAAAGCTCTGTCCGTACTAATAATAAATTAATTCCAAGGTATATTAAGTGGAAAAGCAAGAGGCAGAACCATGTGTGTAGCATGCTATCACCTGTAGGGAAAAAAAGTATTGTGTGTGTCTATGTGTCTGTGTGTGTCTTTGTGTTTGCTCACGCATACATAAGGCATACAAGAAATTGGAAATGCTGTTGCCTCCAGGGAGGGAAACTAGCTGGCTGGGGTAAAGGGTGGAAAAGCAGTTTTTCAAGACTATCCCTTTGTGCCTTTTAAATTCTGAACTCCATGAATGTTACCTAATTAAACAAAAACTTTTAGAAGCGCCAAACTGAAAAAGTGATGATATCCACTTCTTCCAAAATTAAAAAGAAAAGCAATTCCCAGCACTTATCATCCCCCAAAATGTTCTTAGTATTCCTTGAGGAACAGTATGATTAGTAGAAGAAATGTACAATGCATAAGGTGACATGACCAAAGGGGACACTAGAAAGAGGCAAGGAGATGCATCTGTGAAAAGCACTAGGCACTTGCGGAGGCACCTGCCTCCCGATCCTGCTGTTTCACAAACAGGGAAACTGGGCCCGGGCAGGCTAAGTGTCGTCCACGTCATCTGGCCCTTGTTGGGCAGGGAGCGGGTGGGGCAGATGGGGACAGACCCTCTTTCATTTGGTCTCAAGCCCACCTCTCTCCTGGCCTCCCAGCTGAAGTAGAGGCTGCAGGCCGTGGCAGGATGTTAGGCCTGGGTCTGTCCCTTCCCTTCCCCACTCTCTTCCCCAGGCCACCCACGCACCCAGGCAGGGCACCGCCTCCAGGCTCCTCCAGGGCATTGCTCTAGGTGCTTGGCAGGCACAGCTCCTCTTTCTCCAAAATTGGCATTACCCAGCTCAGTGTTCTTACATTATGACACAGTTTGGTTGGTTCTGAGTGACTTTGGGCTGTTTCAAATCACCTTCTTCAGAGGTTCGAGATTTGCCAACAACTAAGAGACCCAGAAGTCTGTAGTGGAGGCTCCCCGTGATCCGACAGAGGTCAAGTGGCCCCGGTCTGGGTGCTGGAAAGGAATCACTGGCATTCATTCATTCATTCATTCATTTGTTGAGCACACATATATTGAACCTATTCATGGCGTGAGGCACTATTCTAGGCACTGGCGATAGAGTGATAGGTACTGTTCTCGTGGAGCTTACATTCTTGTGCAGAGAGTCTGAAAACAATCAAGTAAAAGAATAAACGATCGAGGTAAGTTCATATACTAAAAGATCAGAGGGTGAGGTGGCCGAGAGGCTGAGGAGTGACTTCAGACCACGGGTTTGGGGAAGGCCTATCTGAAGATGCCTTCCTTAGGAGAGGAGTGCTATCTCGATGCCTTTGGGGGTCCTCCCTCCAGTGGCGAGATTCTAACACCCTCCCCATCCAACAGGATCCTGTGAAGGAATAAAGAGATGGAGGGAAAAAGCTCTGCTAGCTGCTGCAAAACACATCTGAGCAACCCTGCTTCCAGCTAAAGGGGACCACCTGTCTTGGGAACCTCACTCAGTACCTGGGACAAGAACCTCCTGAGAGGACTTCTTGTCAAAATGAATTGGACCAACTGTGGGTTCCAGGACCCCAGAGCCAGCAATGCCTCCCTGGACGACCCCACACCATTGCTCTGCTTGGGTAAGACCAGCTGAAAACAGGCTAAGTGGCCATTATTTACTGTTAAATAATAGTTTGAACATTTAGGTCTTAAACAACCTTGCAATGTAGGTATTCATGCTACGTCCATCTCACAGATGAAGAAAACAAGGCTCAGAATGATTAAGTGACTGTCCTAAGAACCTAAATCTCAGGTTCGTTCATGACATCAACCTTCATACTTATTCCCCTCACACCCACTCACCCTCCCAAGATATGTCCTTGACTTTCTGACCGTGGACAGACACCTTCATGCTATCTGTCCTTCTTGCTGTAAACTGGTGTGCCCTACCCCAGCCAGCTCTCCCAGCTGGTGCCCCAGGCTCCCTCTCATTGCTCCAGACTTACTTGTGACATTTCACCCCACCCCACCCCACTCCCTCGCTCGTCAAGCCCTGTGACTTAGTACCTCATCTTGGGTGGCAGTGCTGCGGGCACTGGGACAATCTGGTTTCCAAGGTCCCTCCCTAACCCTCACCCAGAAGGTGGGCAGGGACTGTCAAAGAGAAACTTGGTGAGGTCAGACAACTTACTCAGAAGGGGGACAGGAACAGAGGCAGAGAGGAAGTGAGCCACTAGGTGCCTGACATGATCCCATGTGGCCTTAGCACCGTGGGAGGCTGTGATCCTTGCTGCTCCCACCCATGGTTGCTTTTTATTGTCAGATTGCCCTAAAGACCCTGTACAGGCAAAATAGGTTTACAGTTACTCAAAACAGTTTATTCTTGTATTACTATTTATTAACTGTATTATTTTCCACATGAACAAATGTAAACCTGCTTTGGTTCCCTTCACCCCACCTTGGCAGCAATCTTTGCTTTGGGGTACTGAGTAGCCAGCTCCCCAAGATATGTGTTTGGAGAGGTGCTGCCTGCTACGGGGGCTGAGTCATGCAGTTCCACGTTATGGGGGAAGAAATAAGAAGAGGTCTGAGTGCAAGGAAAGAGAGATTTGGGGCTGGAGTTGAAAACATGGACTCAAGTCCTGGATCCAGCACTTACCTGGGCAAGTGGTTTCCCCTGAGTCTCCTCACCTGTGCAGCGAGAGAGTTTGGCTACATATGTTTTAAGATTCCTTCTAACTCTAAAAATCCAGGAATAGATGTGGCTGGAGAGGAGATGGGCTTGGGGGTCTCCATCCATTGAAGTAGGAAAAGTTTTTTTCAAAGTGTGAATAAAAGACGCCCCCCCCCC